GACTAAATGCACCACTGAAAAGACATAGAATGGCAAAATGGATAAAATATCATCAGGCAACAATATACTGCCTTCAAGAGACTCATCTTACTAGAAAGGACAGGCACAGTCTCAAAGTAAGAGAATGGGAAACAAATTTTCAGGCGAATGGAACATAAAAGAAAGGAGGAGTCATGATCCTAATTTCAGACAAAATATCATTTAAGCTATAAAAAATTTAAAAAGATACAGAAGGCCACTACATAATGATAAAAGGTTCACTCCATCAACAAGAAATATCTATCCTAAACATATATGCACCCACCATAGGAGCGCCAACATACATAAAACAGCTTCTAGGAAAACTAAAGAAAGATATTGACTCTAACATCATCATAACTGGGGACATTAATACCCCACTCACAACCCTAGACAGATCATCAGGACAAAAAATCAGCAGTGAGATTCGGAACCTCAATGTGACTCTTGACCAAATGGACTTAACTGATACTTACAGAACACTCCATCCAAAGACCACAGAATACACATTCTACTCATCACCTCATGGAACACATTCTAAGATTGACCACATACTTGGCCATAAATCAAGCATAAGCAAATTTAAGAGGACCAAAATTTTACCATGCACCTTCTCAGACCACAGTGGAATAAAAATAAACATTAACACCAGCAAGGTCCCCAAAACCCAGAAAGACATGGACACTAAACAGCATGATGCTAAACAACTCCTGGGTCAATGATGAAATCAAAACAGAGATCAAAAGATACCTGGAAACAATTGAAAATTTAGAAACACCTTACCAAAATCTCTGGGATGCCATGAAAGCTGTAGTAAGAGGGGAATTTATATCCCTACAAATGCACATGAAGAAAATGGAAGGATCACAAATTAACAACCTAAGAAGTCACCTAAGGAAGCTGGAAAAGCAAGACCACAAGAACCCTAATTTCAGCAGAAGAATCCAGATCACCAAAATAAAAGCCCAAATCCAGGACATAGAAGACAAAAAGATAATACAAAAAACCAATGAAACAAAAAGCTGGGTCTTTGAAAGAATAAACAAGATCAATGATCCCCTAGCTAGACTGACCAAGGAAAAGAGAGAAAAAACCCAAATAAGCACAATCAGAAAAACAAAAAATGAAGTCACATCTGATCCTGAAGAAATACAAAAGATCATTAGAGACTACTATGTAGACTTGTATGGAAACAAACTTGAAAACCTTTTGGAAATGGAGGACTTTCTGTCATCACACAACCTGCCTAGGTTGAAACAAGAAGCAATTGAGACCCTAAATAGACCAATAACAATCAAGGAAATTGACTACGTAATAAGAAAACTACCCACAAAAAAAAGCCCTGGACCAGATAGTTTTCCAGCAGAATTCTACAAGACATTTAAGGAGGAGCTGATACCAATCCTACTGAAGGTATTCCAGGTGATTGAGAAAGATGGAACTCTCCTGAAATCATTTTATGAAGTTAACATCACATTGATACCCAAGCCAAGTAAAGACCCAACAAAGAAATAGAACTATAGACCAATATCTTTGATGAACATAGATGCTAAAATTCTCAACAAGATCCTAGCAAACTGGATTCAACAACACTTCTCAAAAATCATTCATCATGACCAAGTAGGATTCATCCTTGGGACGCAAGCCTGGTTCAACAAGTAGACCTGAAAATCTTAAGGAAATGGAGGACTTCCTGACATCACATAACCTGCCTAGGTTCAAACAAGAAGAAATCGAGACCCTAAATAGACCAATAACAATCAAGGAAATTGACTACATAATAAGAAAACTAACTACAAAGAGCAGAGAAGGATAAATCAACAAAGTTGACTAAGAAGGAATCACCAGAGATCATGGGAAAGAAGTGACGCCATAACCTGGAAGACCAGGGCTATGAGTCAAGATCTCCCAAAGTCTGTGATCAAGTCAACACAGATTTGTTTGTGACCATGACTCACTTAGTTTTATTTTGGCAGGGGGACTGATCTCCAAAGATTGGCTCATGTTAACTAATTCAGAGACTCTGATGTAAATACCAGTTTATTAATTTACAATGAAAAATATAACCAACCAGAAGTCTGACATATTCTGCTAATGGTCTGCACTTTATTTTCCTGAAGATAATGTACCAAGAAATGACTCTCAGAAAGCTGCTGGGCTGAGCATGAAATCACAACTAGGGTAACTACGAAGTTGCTTTGGCAACCAGTGACATGGAGCATAACCAACAGGGTCCAACAGGGTCCCAAAGAGAAACAGAAATCAACCCAGACTTTGAAACTTTTCTAAAGGGACCACTTACAGAGGGGAAAGCAAGGACAAGGGAACCAACAAAGGATGGTGAGGCACTAAGGGACTAGCAACAGCCCTACAACTAAAGGAGCTGGGAGAGAAACAGCGTTACTGGAGTCCAGTGAGAGCTGAGACTATGGTGGGAGTTCTAGTGGTAGAGGGATGTAGCTACTGTCAGAAAATGGTAGCAAATCAGGGAGAGAGTGGGAAGAAACACCTCTCTCTCTGCCCACTGATGCCTTCCATTGGTGAGCTCAACTGACAGCCAGCAAGGGAACCAGAGGAAACTCCACCTGCAGGAGTCTACTTCCCAGAGCACACCACAGGACAGAGGAGAGGAGAGTGGACCTGAGGACTCCAAAAGAGACTATAAACAGGACAAGACACCATGGCAACCATGACCACTTTCCCTTCTAACTAGATATAGCTGGCCCGTTGACCAGATACATTTGCATAAGTCAGAAACGCGTACCGAGATACCTTCTTGTCTAGATTAATGCTAGAAACACTACCTGACCCCCTGGATGCACCTTGTCTAGAAGCCACACAGCAATGGCTAACAGTCAAATGCAATATGGTAAATTAGTGAATCATCAAAGGCTGATGTAATCGAAATTCAGGTTCAACCAGGCAAGTGCTAAGCCAAACCCAGAATATCTCCAAGAACTTCAATAGACTCCTAGACTGATATTTGACATAACGACTCAGCTCAAATCTCAAAAGTCTGAATAGATAAGACCTAGCAAGTCTGAACTTAAATCAGTTCTAGAAACTGACCCAGCTGTCCACCTAGAGACAATGAACACATATCCAGCTAACTCTACAGACACAGTTAATGCCACACAGGGTTTCCAAATGGCAAGATCCTTAACTTACACAAGGACTTAATTTTCAGAATGGTGCTTTTCAGATATAAGAAGTATAAAATTCTTCTGCCAATGAAGAGAGCAGGAGAAAAAAGAGAAGCTGGTAACAGATATTCACCACCAACCTTCCTATGTCCAAGTAACTCATCTGAGGGCACCTCTCTTAGACTTTTTCAGACTCTCTCAAATGTGATTACAAGGACTATAATAGCACCTTTAAAATTTGTTTATAATTACTCTACAGTTACTTACCAGCTAGAACAGATTACTGTCACTACAAATGCTGCTAAGAATGAAGTAAGACTCACTTTTTTCTACAATCTTTAATTTCTGGAAGCTTTCCAGTACCTCCCCATTTAGTATTCTGGGTAAGAAGTCCCGTATTTGCATCACTTCAGTTGTCAGTCGCTCCAGGTCCTTCTTTCTGACTTTAACAAATTCTTCTTTAGCTCCCAAGTGCTAAAAGAACAAGTAGATCTTAATATTATTAAATTTCTCTTCATACGACTAAAACGAACAGCCCACATCAACTTGCTTCCTTTTCTTTCATGCCTCTTATGCTCATAATATTTCAAAGCATGACTTTACCTAATGTGCCCTCTGTTAAATATATAGACATAGATCACATATATAAAATATTTTGAGAGCTGAAGACCCAGCTTTCAAAATGGGAGCCAGATGTTTAAAATAATAAGTGCATAGAAGAACCCTATTACTAGAAACTAAGAAAACACCCTCAGCTTTTTATTCACATTGCAGCACCAACCTAATCAGGAGGAAAAGAAAGTCACCTTTACTGGATTCCTACCATTTTAGCCAAGCCCTCCACTGGTCATCTCATGTAATACTCCAACCCTCCAAGGTTGACCAGGTCAGAAATTGAGGTATGGGGCCTGTGGGCGGGGTCAGGTGACTTTCTCAGTGCAGTACAACTAATAAGGGGCAGAACCAGGATTTGGACACGGATCTGGCTCCAAAAATCAAGCACCTTCTACATCACATGCAACAGAAGGGACAGTGAGGCACCTACGGCAACAGGGTCCTCTCTAAACCCGACACAGAGTCACAAAGAAAGTAATCAGGGCTTTCAGAGGAAAAATGGGCTTTCAGAGGGCACACAAAGGAGTATGACCATTCGTCCCACGCTCTTACGCTCCCTTTGGTATCACTCAGTGCCCCGCCCTCCCCATCACACGAAGCCTCCCAGGTTCAATTATCTCGTGGGATTTGGAGGCAGATGTACCCTCCTGCCCCAGCCCTGCCCCCCTCCGCCCCAGCTCTCGCCGTCCATAGGGAGGTCCCCAAGCCTCCCTGACCATTCAACGAGCCATTTCTGAGCACAACGGGCGAGGCCCGGGGACGGGGGAGAATGAGAATGGCGAAGGCCCAGACACCCGGGCGGCAGCAGGAGCCTCCTTCCTCACTGACCCTGCAAGCCTCCTCAGCGCCGTCTGCCTCGCCCATCGCAGCTGCGACCTGGGTCTGCGCCTGCGCGGCGAAGCGCCCTCTGACCCCTCACGCCTGAAAGCGCGGGAACGTGTCCACGCTGGGCGCTGGAAACGGAGAGCCGCGAGGCTCAAACCGCGAAGGATTTGCGCAGCATTCTCGACCTCGGGGACGAAGAATGGCCTCGATGAGGTTTGCTTCAGCTCTTCTGGCTTAGCCAGGGCTTTATACCTGCTAACTACGAAGCAGAAGGAAAATCAGAGTCTGGTGTAAATGTCGTAAAATAAATGGAATCGTCGTTTCTGGTTGGCGAAGAATGCTCGACTAAGAGGAGTGCCTTCAAACCCCGCACCGTCTTTGCGGGAAACCATGCCTAGGCAGCTCGCAGCCTGCATTCCTTTGCTCAGCTCTCAGCGCTTTTAAGTTAAGGGTTGATTGAACCTTAGTGTCAACAGGGACTTCAGGCAGTCGCCCAGATAAGTGAGTGGAGTGACTAAGATAACCACTGCGGACTAAACTTGCCCAAATTTCTAACTAACAAGCTCGAGGAGGCACTGCCTAATAAGGACTCACCAGACAGGATTTTGTTAGTTACCCTATATCCTAAAGTCTGCTCTCCAACCTGAGTCTGGCATAACATAAGGTTTATGACCCTGCAAATCCGTCTCACAGATTCCCAGACTCCGGCAGCCTTGTAAGATAACTTCCCTAGCCTCCCTGGAGGACTTCATCGACATATCAACAAACCTAGAGTTTTCCACCGCCTTATCTTAACAAAGCACCTCCTGGGCTGATTTCCCAAATTCTTAGATAGGAACTGCAAGTTACCAGTCAAGAAATCTTTGAGCTGGGCTCGGTGGCTCAGCCTGTAATCCCGCACTTTGGGAGGCTGAGGTTAGTGGATTGCCTGAGCCCATGGGTTCGAGACCCGCCTGGGCAACTTGGCGAGACCTCATCTCTACAATAAATCAAAAAATTAGCCGGGGGTGGTAGCGCGCGCCTGTAGTTCCAGCTACTTGGAAGGCTGAGGTGGAAGGATCGCCGGAGCCCAGCGGGTCGAGGCTGCGGTGGCTGGAAGCGGCCCCTGCACTCCAGTCTGGGCTACAGAGTGAGACCCCAACTCAAAAAAAAAGAAAGAAAGAAAGAAATCTTTGACCTGCAAGCCCCTGCTTGGAAATTTCCCTCCTTCCTGGGCGGAACCAATGAAAATGCCACATATATTGATTTGTGGTTTCTTGTTACTTCTGCCTTCCTAAAATTTATTCCCAAGCCACCGTTCAAACAAGTGGGCATACGCTCTCAGGACCCCCTGATGCGTGTACCCGAGTTTGCTTGGGCTTAAGTTCTCACGTTTGGTTCAAGAATAAACCAAATTAAAATATTTTATAAGAGTTTGGCATCTTTTCGTTTACACCACACTAAGTTTGGAGGAGTCACCTAGCCCAGGACCTTGACTCAATACACACGCTGAATCTGCAAAATATGGGAGGACCTAGGATTTTAGATGAACCCAACTGCTTAGGTTGCACAACTGTTCTAGTTCTTCCATCTCTGGAATGAGCAAGCAGCCAGCCCTGAACACTCCCGCAGCACGTGTTCTGCAGACCCGAGGCCCCAGTGCGGGGACAACACCTGTAATTACACCAGGACACCTCTCTGGGGGGCGCACCGTCCCTGCCAAGGCTCCGCAGGCGCCTGTCAGGAGGGGCTGCCCCCGCACTGCTGAGCCAGCCCCAGTGACGGCCCTTTCTTCCCGTCTCAACTCCACCTGGGGAGCCCGTGGGGCGCAACACAGTTATCGTCTTCGTGTCGCGGAGCCCTTAGGAAGCTGCCAACAACACGGGGTCTGCTAAGTGGGCTTAAAGATCCCATATCACTTGCAACCGGCCGGCCGTGGCTTCCAGGCCAAAACCCAACCCTGGCTGACCTCCACCATCAACGGCCCTGAATCTTAGCGACCAAAAGGCAGCGCCGCAACTGCGCGACGCGCACCCAGGTGGGCCGCAC